GGACAGGATAAGTTCATTAATTTAAAATATGTTTATTTTAAAACGGGGGTTTCATGCCACTATAAAAAAGCAAAAGGGGAAGTTATGGCTCAACACACTTTCATAAAATACTGTCTGTATGGACAGCAAGATATGTTATTAACATTTGTAATGGTGATCACCTGCATCCTAGGGGGGACAAGACACCCTCCATTTAAAATGGCAAATTCCTGTACTCTTAGGTTAAACAGAGGGGAAAATAACAGAAAGGGCGTCTTAGAAGTACTGCGAATAATGACACAGTGTTGGCATTCACAGCAGAGTTAAAAATAATAAAATTAAAAAACAATTACAAATCAAAACAAAAATGTACTAAACTATATTAAAACAGTTACAATCATAAACACTCGTCACAATACATAAACAATATATCATATCAGACTTATGTAATGTATAATATACTGTGTTTTTTGTTTTTCAAGATTTACTTTTTATATTGGTTGCATTGGCTGTTATATTTTGTTATTATTATGACCTCATGGCAGAGTCTGGCAAACTGGGGAGTCGCAGAAACTAACTAGATCGATCAAAGATTGGTTGCTTTGGCCAAAAGTCTATGTAGTAAACTATGTAAATTACAAATATTGAGAGAAACCACGTAACAGCCCGCAAAATTCTAACAAAGCAAATGTTTAAATAACCTCAGGAATAAAAAAATAGTAAAATCTAAATTAGACTTTTTTGGTTGGTCAGCATGTATTATGAAGACTTTTTTGTCAAGAAACTTTAACAAATATTACCTCTTTAAATCTTGGATGAGCAGCATCCTGAAGCAACTGTAGGATCACTAGTTCACTTGTAGTTAGAAATGCTCCACTTTGCTTCATTCGGGAAAGGGCAACAAAGCGATCTATCTGGCTGGAAAACAAAATACTTTCTTATTTTGCATAACTTTTTTAATAATAACTGATTTTCAAAGTATATGAAGTATATAAATTATGACTAAGATGTTCAACTCTTAACCCCATCACAAAAAATAAAGAAAACTTTAAAAAAATAAAAAAAATTCAGTATAACATTTATTTAACCCCTTAAGGACACACAACATGTGTGACATGTCATGATACCCTTTTATTCCAGAAGTTTGGTCCTTAAGGGGTTAAAGGGACACTATAAGTATGAAAACAACTCTAGCTTAATGAAGTGGTTTTGCTGTATAGATCATGCCTCTGCAGTCTAAATGCTCAATTCTCTGTCACTTAGGAGTTAAATCACTTTGTTTATCTAGCCCTAATCACATTTGGGATTTCAGGTGGGCAGCAGGGCCGTCTTTAACGTTGCTCCTGGCGGGCCCCAGAGCAGCCTCCGTGATTTGCGCAGCCCCCCATGGAGGAGCCAGGAGGCCTCCTGGGTGGCCCATGCACTAAGGGCCACCTGGTGGGCATGTGTCAGCAGTGGCCCGGTCAGGCGCTGTGGCGCTTAAACAGCGCGACCAGGCCCCTTCCTGTTCGGCAGATGACTGGGAGGTAGTGAGTGCCGCGCGTCACTTCCTCCCAACGGAGATGCGCAGGAGGAGGAAGGCAAGGAGGAGCAGAGTTCCAGAAGATAACTCCTAACTACCTCAGCCTGCCACTGGACCCCAAGGAAACCAACCTCCAGAAAAAGGTAAGAACCTGCAGGGTGGCTAAATGTAGCATGTGTGTCAGTAGGTTTGTCTCTGTGTGTCAGTGTGTGTGTGTATGTCAGTATGCCTGTGTCTTTGTGTGTGTGTCAGTATGTCTGTCTGAGTGTGTCAGTGTATGTCACTATGCCTATGTGTGTGTGTGTGTGTGTGTCAGTATGTCGGCGTGTATGTCAGTATGCCTGGGTGTGTGTCAATATGTCTGTCAGTGTGTCTGTGTGTGTTTCAGTATTTCTGTTAGTATATGTCTGTGTGTAAATGTAAAAAGAAATGTATATCAAAACCACATAAAAAAAGAATCAGCCCAAAAACAAGTGAAGTGGTGGAAAACAACCATAAAATACAACCTGTACGTTGAAGAATGGCAGAGTGTTATCTACAAAATATAAATACAGAACATAACATAGTGTATACTGTATATTACAAATGTATGTAGGAATAGAAAGTGGACAACCACTCACATTTACCAGAGCCGTACCAGGCTCTGTATAGCAGGCTCACAGGTGCCAATTCAGGCTAACAGGATTCCAGATAATGAATGGAGAAAATTCCGTAGTAAAAAAGGATATTTATTTATAAAAAATAATAATAAACAAACTCCTGGTTATAAGGGGGTGGAACCCAATAACAGATAATATGTAGAAAAAGGTATCCACTTACCCAAACCAAAGTAACCAATGGAGTAGTATAAGAAAATAAAAATTACAATACAAGTAGTAAATAGCAGCAGTCAATAGCAGCAAACGTGTTTCGGCTTGGTAGCCTTCTTCCAATGCTGTTCCTCAAGTCCTCGTGGCTTGTTTTAAATGCATCCGGCATTTTCAATCACCTGTGCGTAGTTTTTCTTCCGCATGCGTCACTTCCGGTATTTTCGGACGATGTCACTTCCGGTTTCATCAGTTGGAACGCATACAGCGTTCCATTATTTCCGGTATCGGAAAGAGACTTACGTTTTCAAAAAGAGCTCATAATAAGAAGAGAAAAATATATATAAATATAAAATAGCAAACAAATATAAAGCCACAGGGTAATACAAGAAATATTTGGCTGGTCATATATTTGTTGCTTATCCTTAACATATATCTGTATAAGTAAGGGGAGGATCTAGGGGTTAGCAAATAATGGAGCAAAATAGAAAATAAATGAAATATATAATAAAAAATTGTTATAAAAAATGAGAAAACTCAAAATCTAAATTTAGTCCATTTGGAAATAGACAATCTACATCAAAAATCCATTTGCTTTCTATTTTTGCCAACTCCTTTACATTATTCTCACCCCTCCAGTTTTTATCTTTTTTAAGAATAGCCATAAAAGATAGTACGGATGGATCACTTCTATGTTTATCAGCAAAATGTGCTGAAACACTATGTTTCATGTACCCCCTCTGGATATTGCCCACGTGCTCCGCAATCCTAGTTTTTAATGCTCTAGTAGTCATTCCTATATATTGCAGACCACATGGACACCAGAGGAGGTATATAACATTAGTGGAATGACACGTCAGAACTTGACGGATAGGGAACGTATGTTGATTATGGTAAGAGGTAAATGAAGTATTTTTTTTTGTTTTTTAAATAAAGTTTTTTTTACATGCGACACATAATTTACAGGGATAAAAACCCGGATCAATGTTAAAGAATTTGGTGTTATCTTTTTTATCTTTAATAAAACTGGTCGTTAAGTGTTGTTTTAAATTTTTTGCACCTCTATATACTATAGTTGGTTTATCTCCTATGATATTCTTAAGAGTTGGATCTGATTTAAGGATATACCAATATTTGTTAATAATGTGTTTAATCTGTTTTGCATTTTCATTATAATTTAGAACAATTGGGATATTTAGGAAACTTTCCTTCTTTTTCACATTAGATATCTTATTACTTTGTGTTAAAATATCCTTACGTTCTTTTTCTTTGGTTTTATTAATAAATTTATCTAAAACCTTCGTATCATAATTTTTCTCAATTAATCTAGTTTTTAGAAACTGTGCCTGTTCATCAAATAATTTTGGATCACTGCAGTTCTTATATAGACGCAAAAATTGGCTATTAGGCATATTATGTAGCCATGGGCCATAATGACAACTTGAAGTGTCGATGTACCCATTGACATCGACTTTCTTAAAGAAGGTCTTAGTCTGAATAGTTTGATTTTCAACATATATATATATATATATAAATCGAGGAAGCTAATGCCCTCAGTGCTATGTTCACTTGTAATATGTATGTCTGAGTGATTACAATTTAAAAAATCAATAAAAGATCGAAGTGAATCTACATCTCCTTGCCAAATGAAAAAAATGTCGTCAATGTACCTACGATAGAGAACCAGATTCTGCGCCCAGCGGGCCTCTGAGAGAAAAAGATTCTCCCAACGTGCCATAAAAAGATTAGCATAGCTGGGCGCGAATCTGGTTCCCATCGCGGTACCTTTAAGCTGTAAAAAAAATTTATCATCAAACCAAAAATAATTATTATTAAGGATAAGTTTAATACTATCCATAATAAATGTAATCTGTTCTTGTCTCATATCGCTTTGCTGGTTTAAAAAATACTCTACCGCTTCACAGCCTAAAACATGCGATAAACAAGTATATAAACTTGTAACATCACATGTTACTAGGAGATAGTTGTTCTCCCATCGTATGTCCATCAAGAGTGTCAGTAAAGAGGTAGAGTCTTTTAAGTATGAAGGCTGTGATATTACCAATGGTTGGAGTTGTTTATCCACATACTCGGAAAGATTACTTAAAAGTGACCCAACTCCGGACACTATAGGTCTACCTGGTGGATTTTTTTGGTCTTTATGTATTTTTGGAAGTATGTAAAGTACTGGAATCCTGCAAAAAGAAACATCAAGATATAAAAATTAATGTTTATTCAGGATATCCAGCACTTTACCCCTATCTAAAAGTTCTGAATATGCTTTTCTGATTTGGCTAGTAGGGTTGATGTAGAATTATTAAAATCTTTATTAGAACCTGTATTGAATTATTGTACTAACTCCATTTTGTTCACCTTACATGACAGAATTTCCTGACAGTATTCAGTATAATAAATAAGAGATTGTATTTTCTCTCTCTAAGGACATAACTAGCCCCGGAGTTAGCGGATCTCCGTTGACTTGCAACATAGTATAATCCAAGGCCAGGAGAACAGTGACAAAATGAAATGTTCTATTCATAAAAGAACCTTGGAACAGACCACGAGACTGACATCACTAACTACGTAAAATGACGCCCAAGCCCCCCTTTCCACCGAGTAAGCCTCGTGCTAAAGAGCAATGGCGACGACATCCCATGATGGGAGGGTGCCTCACTAGTCACTCAAATCTCTGAGCCAATTAATAATATTAATGGGTGGACACTGACATAGCCACTTAACATTTAACCCAATTAATGATGTTTATTTGTTATTATCTGATATTCAATGATGATGTCATTTTGCATATAAAAAGGCCTGCGTGCCCGCTTTTTAACTAGATGCTAATAAATTTCCTGAAGTGTTTTTAACCTGAACTGCATGTGTCAGTGTGAACTTACTTCTGCGTATACGCAATTTATTCATCTCAGATTTGGACAGGAACAGATAGACTTTTAAACATTTTTGTTTATTTCTAAATTAATCCACATCAATCTGGCGTCCATCCAACGTGGGGCATCGGGCTATGGCCTCCGCCGGTAAGCCGTCCTAAGGAAGACGCTGTTGGACGGAGGAATCAGGGGGGAAGGAAGAGAGACTGATCACCTCTGAGTACACGGTAGAGACTTCTGCAGGAGCCACCGGTATGTTCCAGCCCCTTTGATTGACCCGTCCACGTGTCTGTGACTGCTTCCCGGGAGGGCATCAAAGACAGGTAATATCTTGCCCGGTGTCTTGTTACCCATTTGTTTACCTGCATTTAGTCTATCTGTTGCCTGGGTGTGCTAGTGGTATATGTTTTGTTCTTTCCCTCTTTAGAGATAAAGGGGGGTGGACCCGTGGGTGGTTGCCTGGGGGTCTTCTGTTGCCTGTTTTTACCCCTTTTTAGGAGTCACTTGGCCCAGACTGTTGGGAAAAAAGGGGGGGTGGACCTGTGGGGATTTTCCAAAGGGGTCCTGTTTTCCTGTTTACTTCTTTTAGGTACTGTCTAGCTAACAGTAGTAAGGAAAAAGAAGGGTTGGGGGATTCTGTGGAGGGGACTTGCCTCCTGGGGTTTCCCGGTTACGTCACTTTGATATTCTAGCTAGCCTCATTGTGTACGTTGCTCTGCTTGCAGAGGTTATGGTACCCTCCAGCTTCGAGCGCTGAGGCTGGTGGCATTCCAATTTATTTGTGGTGTGTGGATTCGGGCAGGCATTGTTGTCTCCATCACCACGGGGTAGTGTGACTTGTGGGTGGGTCCATAGGGAGCACTACGGGAGTGAGGATAGAGGTGGCCACACTTAGTGGACTGCTGTAACGAGGGAGGCATATGGATTTCGGGCCGGTGTTAGTCGTTATCCTTGGCCGCTGGTAGTGAAACTTACGAAAGTTGTTCTCCGAGCGGGGACACTACGAGATTGAGGGAGGTGGTCTTGGTGGCCACAAGAGTAAAGGAAAGGGATTACTGTTGATGCATGCACTGTATTTCAATTGAAATGTTGTATTAAATGTTGTCTTAAGTGTGGAGTCATTCAAACTCCTGGGTCTGTCTCTACTTTCACTGTTTACTTTTCCTCTACTTCCTGTACTATTTACACTATCCACTCCTATTTCTCTTGAAAGAGAAGTGATTGGTCACACACTTCTCACCCCGCTCCAATCCGTGGTTACCATCGAGGGTACACGGATTCAGTGACTGGTCTACGTTTTGGGAAGACGCACTGGGAGGGACCCACCCTTCCTAGTGGCAGTCGAGCATTGTAGACGTTCTGTTTCATTTTCCTTTACCTATACTTGGGACGCTTTGTATAGGGGGATATGGGACAGGAAACGAGTAAGCCCGCTAGGGGCTGGCTCGCGTGTGATTTAGTTGAAGATAGAGAAGGTGAAGAACTGGTTAAAAATGTTGCAAAGATTGCTAAAGTGTGTAAAATTGCTGTGCCTTCATGTGGTAGATTACAGCCAGAAAGCTGGCGTAGATTACTGACAGAGAAGAAAGGCAAGCTTACAGATAATGATTTATTGCGTACTGCTGAAGCATGGTACAGAGTAGAAAGGCTATCCAGCAGGAGGGTTGGGTAGAGGAAGAGATAAATCATAAAGGGTTAAGAACTGTATGTATATCATAATAATTGTGTTACTGGGAAGTTATCCCAGCCAGTGCCCTGTCGGGGGTTCCAGGAGGTGACCACTTCCATCATCCTGTCAGTAATGACCGAAATGTAGCTGACCATGGTCACCATCCCACCCCAATCTTAAAACGCTGTGGGGTTTTTGTATTTTGTGTTAGCCATTACCCTGGTAGAGGGTGGGGGTTTAAATGAAATGCTGTGTTTTTGCTTTGTAATGTAATTGTCCTTCTGTCTTGTTACTGTACAGCGTTGACATGGTTAAATTCGTGCTGGCAGGCAGTCTCTCTCTTGTTCCACTCAAATCCCCCTCTGCTAAAACACCCCCCCCTCCCCTCGCTTCTGTGAGACGCGGGGGGGAGGGGGCGGAGGGGGGTGGTTACATGCTTGCGATTTAGGTCTGTCTCTTCAGTGTTCTGTAGAGTTATTCAGAAGCTACTGATAAGATTTTTAGCAATTAAATTTTTGCTAGAAAATATTCTAATTGTGTATTTTGTTATCTCAATAGAAATTGATAGGATGGTTAGGGAGTGAATCTGATGCAGGAATAGAAGTTATTAAGTTAGTATATGTTTCTAGAGACAGCTTTGTGGGCTGTTAGATGTATAATATTCACAACTGTCTTATTTAATCCGTCAAGTCTGTCCACAGTTCAGATTTTCATTTTGCCGAACAGAATGTTACTTCCCATGAAACCCACGCCTCCAGAGAGACTTAGTATGCCCTAAAGGAAAATGGCCCCTAGAACAAAAGAAGGTTGTCCTTAAGTGCCTTCACTCTGCCCTTAGTGAGGTCATATCTGCCCATATATCGTGTCAGTTCTGGCCATCCATGGCTGACGAGATCTACTCCTATCATGCTCATCTTATCTTAAGACATGCTGTCTTCCTTAATTCCCACATATTATGAACAAGAAAGTTACAATTACTAGAATAATCCTGCTAATGTATCCCTATATCAGAAAAGTATCTGTGACAAGTGATGGTTAATATGTAGAAAGGATATATATATACCGATTCACGTGTTAAGTAACAATATGTTTTAACTTTGTGTACAAAAAATTGATAACATGCTAAAAGAAATTTCTAATAAACAAAGCTTTCTTGAACAAATGGTAATACAATTAAAGATTGGTCTCAAGATGTTTTGATCTAATTGAAAAGAACCAGAAAACATTATGAGCCTAACTACTAACAAATGGATAAGGGGGGAGGGTGTTCCAATCTGTCTTTATTAGATAATGTTAACCACCAAGATTAAAGACTGACTAACATATTTTTTTAATGTAAGCCCAGATATTTTATTATTATATATGCATAGAAGTCGAGACTTTGGGCATTATAGTGTATTGATTCTAGATCTGTTACTAGCAGCAAGTGCTTAGCCTTATGCCTATCCCACGCATGCTTAAACACTCCTTTACTGTGTTAACCTCTATCACTTCAGCTGGAAGGCTATTCCATGCATCCACTACCCTCTCAGTAATGTAATACTTCCTGATAGTATTTTTATTTAAACCTTTGTCCCTCTATTTTTGAGACTATGTTCTCTTGTTATGGTAGTTTTCCTTCTTTTAAATATAGACTCCACTTTAACTGTGTTGATTCCCTTTGTGTATTTAAATGCTTTTATCATATTTCCCCTGTCTCGTCTTTCCACAAGGCTATACATGATAAGATCCTTTAACCTTTCCTGGTAAGTTTTATCCTACAATCCATGAACCAGTTTAGCAGCCCTTCTTTGAACTTTCTCTAAGGTATCCATGTCCTTCTAAGGATATGGTCTCCAGTACTGTATACAGTACTCCAAGTGAGGTCTCACCAGTGTTCTGTACAATGGCATGAGCACTTCCCTCTTCCTACTGCTAATACCTCTCCCTATACAACCAAGCATTCTGCTAGCTTTTCCCGCTGCTCTATTACATTGTACATTGTCATTAACAGCCAGAAACTGGAAACCAGAAAGGATAAATTAATGTATAGCTAAATGTAAAGCTTAACAAAACCTCCATTATCTTTTTCATTTATCTCGCAGAAAAACAATGTTATTTGTCTATTTTGTAAGTTTTAATACATTATCAGTGAAGAGTAAAATAAGTTTTATCCCTTTTACGAGACATAAAATTGCGATAATGTATATTTGTGATGTAAGTAAGAGTTATATTTTATAATAGGTTGAAAAAAAAAAGAGAGAGTCAGGGATAGCGTCTGTCTCTACGAGCAAAAGTCTGGTGTGGGAGATGTAGTGGACTAGCCACTGCGGGATACCCACGGAGTGAAGCGTTCGAGGCCTGTACAGACAGATGTGCTTGTTAGCCTTTTATTATTTTTCTCTAGGGAAAGCATAGGGCCAGTTAAAAGTTGTTGTACATGGACTATTTGCAGCCTCCATTGCATTTCTACTTAGTTCTGATTTCTGATGTATCCTCCACTGCTACATACCCACGCCTCCATATGGAGACCTGTCTGCTCCCTTACCTGCCCACCCCTGCCTACTCCTACTCCTCCTCCTACTCCACCTTCTCCTCCCTCTACTCCACCTTCTCCTCCTCCTACTCCTCCCTCTACTTCACCTTCTACTCCACCTTCTCCTCCCTCTACTTCACCTTCTACTCCACCTTCTCCTCCCTCTACTCCACCTTCTCCTCCTCCTACTCCACCTTCTCCTCCTTCTACTTCTCTCTCCTTCTCCTTCTCTTTCTCCTCTCCTCTACTCCACCTTCTCCTCCTCCTACTCCTCCCTCTACTTCACCTTCCACTCCTCCTATTCCAACCCTCCCACTCCACCTTCCCCTCCTCCTACTCCACCTTCTCCTCCTCCTACTCCTCCCTCCTCCTCTTATTCAATCCTACTCCTCCTATTCCTCCTTCTACTCCACCTTCTCCTCCCTCTACTCCACCTTCTCCTCCTCCTACTCCTCCCTCTACTTCACTTTCTACTCCTCCCTCCTACTCCTCTCTCTACTCTACCTTGTCCCCTATCTGACAACATTATATTTTGAAAAAAAAACAAAAACAAAAAAAAAAGTTGCTCTGGCCCCTCTTCCGCCACTTCCCAGGGGGGAATACCACACTAAAAAAAAAAAATTATTATTCATACTGTTTTGGGCACTCTCAAGGAAATAGTGCGGTCCTGACCCAGATTCCCATGGAAGTAAGACACCTGTATCATCATTGGGAGGTGGCTGCCCCTCATGTTTTCTTCACTAAGTCCCCAGAAATCTCATAAAAGGAACCTGACTCAATAAAACATGAAACACTAAAAATCGATATCAGCTCTCTACAGAGGGGGGGGCAGCAAGAGAACTGTAAATGGAAAGACAAATACCCTCAATCTCACACAGAAATAGGTGAGGATATCTCTTCTACTACTCCTCATGGTTGCTTTGAAAAGATGAAAGAAGAAATAAGACACCTCTCAACAAGGCATGCAGTAGCTTTGCCAGATCCTGACTCCACTCTGTTTGCGGATGAAGAGGAAAGGTACCATACTGGATTTGCTGTTGCTACAGAAGATCAGGTACGTCAAGCATCTTTACTTTCCTCACCCACATCTGCTCAAGACACCAAATTGACAGCCTTTTCAGTGGCATGCAAATTGTTTGTTTCTGAAAGACAAGGCCATGCAACAGGAGTGCTCACTCAGGCCCATGGTCCTGGAGGCCGCCAAGGGCCTATTGGATTTTTCTCCTGCCAACTGGATATTGTGGCCAGAGGACGTCCCTCTTGCCTTCCGGCCGTCTTTGCTGCCAGAGAGCTCATTGAAAGAACTGGAGATCTTGTCCTTGGCCACCCCCTGGTTGTCTTGGCCCCTCATGACATTTCTGCCATAGTCAACCAGGTCCAACTTAAGCATGTTACTCCTGCTAGGCATCTTCGCCTTCAATGTCATCTTTTGTTGCCTGACAACATTACCTCCAAAGATGTCAAGTTCTCAATCCGTCCACTCTTCTGCCACTCCCTGAGGGGGGTGTATACTACGGATTCATCATGGACGAAACTTATGTTTTTCTTCTCACTGGCACCATCAAGAAGGAAATGCATCCCAACCTATCCTTTCATGATGGACAAGCACTCCTTCATGACGGAGCAGGATATGCCTTTGTACCATGTGGTACAAATCAAACATCACTCCTGAAACCTGCTATGAAGATGAACTCTATCATCTGGTCGAAGTAAAACTCACTGCACAAGACTTCTACTGTGATTCTGAAGGCAACAGTATGGTCTTGATTCATCTACCTCCGGAACTCAAGCATTTGTACCGTGATTGGGACACTGCCATTCCACATGTCCCTGTGACCAAGTTGAAAACAATATCATGGAATGATCTTGGGCCTATGGCAAAAGTATGGGCCACTATGGACGAATCACAGCTACAGGAAAATGGTGTTGTCAAATATCCAACAACTGACCACCTAAAAGCATGGCCGCGTCATTTCCTGGAGAATGAGTTCCAAGATTTAACCATAGTGAATGACTATGACCCAGATACACCTCATGACTGTTTTGAACAGATGAAAATGGAAACGACACATCTACCAACTGTGCATGAAGACCCATTGGTAGATCCCGATCTCACCCTGTTTGTGGACGGCTCAAGATATGCTGATGAAGAAGGAAGATACCATACAGGATATGCCGTAACCACAACAGATGAAATTGTCACATCATCATCTTTACCATCAACTATGTCTGCACAAGAAGCTGAATTGCAAGCCCTGACTTCAGCATGCAAGATCTCTGAAGGAAAGCGCGCCAATATCTACATGGATTCAAGATATGCACTGGGCGTGGCTCACGACTTCGGATTAATTTGGAAAACAAGAGGATTTCTTACCACCACCGGTACACCAATCAAGCACGGTTCCGCAATCAAGGAGCTGATGGACGCCCTCCTACTCCCAGAAGAAGTGGCTATTTTGAAGATAAAAGCACATGGGAAGTTGGACTCAGATGAAGCAAAGGGCAACCATCTAGCTGATCAGGCTGCAAAACAAGCTGCAAAAGAACCACAGGAAGTGGAAAGAAGAGTGTCCGTAAATGAAGAAACTCCCATATTTACTCTGCAGACTCTTCCAACTGACCTAAAAATCCTGCGGGAACAACAGGCTACAGTTGCCCCTGAAGAAATACAGAAGTGGAAACAGAAAGGGGCAGTTCTGAAGGATGGAGTGTACTCCAACAACCTCAAGTTCTGCCTCCCTAAGAATTTGTACCCAGCAGTCTTACAATGGGCACACGGACCTGCACATTTATCAAAGGATCTAATGAATGCTCTTGTACAAAAATACTACCTCATTGTCCCTATATGAGATTCTATTTGGGACTGCACCTAGGCTAGGTTGCTATTTTCCCTAACAACTACAACTTCAAACTGATGTCTTAGTAGATTATGTAACTGAACTCGCAAACGCCTTAAACAAAATCCATGCCCAAGTTTTCTCTTCAATTCCAGATCCTGATTCTGACACAGGCAACCACAGTCTGCTCCCCGATGACTGGGTTCTGGTCAAGAAATTTGTGCGAAAACAGTAAATGTCCGTTCCAAGTTCTCCTGATCTCCCCTACCTCTGTCAAATTGGCCGGAAGGCCTAACTGGATCCACGCTTCCCATTGCAAGAAGACACCTGACCCAGAGGAAGCTAACTCTATGCAACCATGTGCCTCTGGTACATTATCTCCTTAGTTGGCCTCCTTAAAGCCCAGCAGGTGGCCATCACCAAAGATGCTAGTGGGTACACCTTCTGGTATAATTCATCATGTACCCGTGTGGCTACTTATACTTTTGACTACTGTGACATCGTAGAATGCCCATTCCCCACATCACAGATTCAGAATATCTATAGAGATATCCCTCATTCAAAAGACCCCTATGTTTGTGTAGTTGACAAACAATGGGGGCACAACTGTAACCATTGGGGGGCGGCGGGATGGAATGCCGGGCCTGCCTGGGGTTACAAACCAAAAAGTGTCTTATCTAAAATTGATGATCACGGTAGGTCCCTCCTCCAGAGAATGACTCTAAGAAAGCCCGGAGGAGGCATACCTATGAAATTAA